AGAGAGAGAGAGAGAGAGAGAGAGAGAGAGAGAGAGAGAGAGAGAGAGAGAGAGTGTGTGTGTGTGTGTGTGTGTGTGTGTGAATGGGGGTGGGGGAGAGAAGGAAATGCAGGGCAATGGAAAAGGGAATTTTGAAAAAACAGCAACTCACTGACCCAGGAAGGCTTTCTCAAGCCCTCTAACGTTCCAGGGAGGCGCCAGGGGTCCTGAGTGTGGACAGTCCTGCCATTCCACACGTGGCCACTCCTTAAGCCCCTGAAGGACCCCGGGGTGCAGAGAATGCCTAGTAACTGTCTAACTCAGACCTGCCACCAACTGGCTGTGGGACCTTGGCAAGTACACAGCATCTACACGCAGTTCTGCCTTCTGAAAAGCGGGGCAGGGGTGGCACCTAACTCGGGGGGCACAGTGAGGATTACATGAGGTCACTCCAGTCAAGCGTCGCACACGGCGGCTGGTCTCAGTGAGCGAGGACCACTGAGATCTCCCTTATCTCTGGGGCCTGGCCCTCGCAGCTCGAAAATTCTGAAACTGTAAAGCTATTTCATACTATATCCAAATACCTCCGCCTGTGTTCATCGCTGGGAGGGATTAGGACACAGAAAGAGACAGGTATTATTTCTGTTGATAAGAGAGATCATTTTGCAGGTAATGAAATAAAAGCAGAAATCAGAAGTCACCCAGCATCATACCCCAAGGTAAAGGTAGAGCGGGAAAGAGGACTGGGGTTGCCTTAGGGACTAAAACGAAGTAAAATACTGGTTTAGTTCACATTTGAATCAACTCTGGCTCATTCTTTTCATTTGTTTGTTGTTTTGAGTTGTTTTGTTATATGTAACAGCTGTGACCAGAGTGGCTCCTTTCAGAGTTCAGAAACAATACAAATTCACATATAAAGCCACCTATAGCGCTCTATTTTGTTAAAGAATCCTATCACATAATCAGTTGAGAAAATCAAGTAATATAATTAATGAATTATACAATTTGGAACCAATAATGCCAGTCCTGGGAATTTATTCTAAATCAAAAAAAGAAGTGAAAAGAAGAAACTAAACTTCACGCAGGGCATTGTTCATGGATCATTATGAGGACCAAGTAAAAGTGAATTACATGCCACCATGTTTATGATCTCAGAATACAAATACTGTATTATGTTAAGTTCTTCTGTTGTTGTGCTGTTTTTGAGTTTTTTGGTACACTTAAAATCTTATTTTAAAGAAAGGTGACAGAGACTAGTATGCATAAAAAAAGAAGTTATAAAACAAGTTAGTAAGACAGGGTCAATGTTTATTTTAATGGACTTTGCATTTTTTTAAAAAGTTGGTTTTAGAGAGAGAGGAAGGGGAAGGGGAGGGAGAGAGAGAAACATTGATCGGCTTGCCTCTTGTACAGGCCGATCGGGGATGGAACCCACAGCAACCTGGGCATGTGCCCTGACTGGGAATAGAACCCGCAGCCTTCCGGTGCACCCGATGATGCTCCAACCAACTGAGCCACATCGGCCAGGGCCATTTTAATGGACTTTGCATTCGATATTGTACGAAACATTAAAAAAACAATAGAACCCACTGAAAGCAAATGTGGCAAAGTAGATACGGTGGAGATGTTAAGCAAAAAATAATTTTATAGATAGTGACATTATCTTATCAGTAGCTTAGAATTAAGTTTCTTTTCAGAAGATATAAGTTGTGATTCTTACATGAATTCTTAGTTATTGCTCACCCTTTCCTGCAATTTTTCTCCCTGTCTTATTTTTTCCATCTCTGACATTAGACATATCTACATTTTCATTTTAAGGATGTTTGTAAAGCAGTTTGAAGCAAAACAAACACAATAGGTAAAGATCATGGAACAAATTATTGTGGCTATTCTCGTTAATACTTACCAACCGGTAATTACCAAAATCGCAGGTATTTCATCGGTAGAATGCATCTCATCGTTGAACAATAAAGCGCACATTGTACTAGAAATTTTTATGTTCTAGTCTCTGTTAGTAGCTACCTGAGTACAATTCCAAGTCCTCTGATCTCTCAATGCTTCAGTTTTCCTTATCATTGTTAAGTTTTAAAAGTATTTTTTACTAGTCTATGTAAAAATCTTATCTACAAAAGGACAGGGGCTGAGCATGATAAAAGAAAGGAAATTCAGTTTGGGGAGTTGAATTATGAGTGAATCTTTTGTCTTCTGTTTCAATTTATGGAAATGTTTTAAAATAAATAATGACGAATAATATCTTTCTGAGAACTTCACAACTATTTCTAAACATGTCCAAACAACAGACTTAAAAAAAAGGCCAGAAGGAACAACTTGCTGGGGACAAATAAGAGCCAATCAAGGGTCTTCTGCAATAAGATTATCTGCCCTTTTTATTTACCACTTTTCAAAGTTTCCACTTGCTGGAAGGAGTGAAAGGCAGAGCTGCATAAATTACCTTTTCTTTTGAAGACAGCGTGGGATGTACAAACTTCCTGTAGAGGAGGCTGGAGCCTTTTGTGTAGGGAGATAGCAGCCAGGCTACAAAGGCTATTTTTAGTTCATAATAGAATGGAAACCTGGAGAGAGATGAGAAGTACACATTCCCATTAGGTTCTTGGCAAGACCACCCTGGGCCTGGGAAGGACCAGACCCAGCACAGACACCTGTCCTGCCTGCAGAGGCTGCCAGGCCCCAGCTCCCTCCTCTCCGCACCCATGAAGGTGTGTGCCCACACGTGCACACACACAGCTCAAGCCCACAGCCTTTTCTGAAAGCTGGTTCGTGTTTTCTCTTGTTGCCAAAGCCAGCCAGGACCCAGGTTCTCTCCAGCAATCACCCCACGCCGTGCCTGGCAACAGCTGGCACTTCCTGCCAGGGGAGGCTCAGTTAGGTTGGAACAGGTGCTCCAGCCCCAGCCTGCAGGCTCGGGCCAGACCTGTGCTCCTCACCCGTCATTTACTCTTCACTGGCGGCCAAGAAGGCACGAGCACCTGCAGGATATAAGCAGGGCGTGGCAGACAAAGAATCTTTTATGAGAATTAAAAGCCTCCCCTCCTTGGCAGTCTTCTCAGCCCCAAAAGAGGGAAGGACAGGAGCCTGAATCTTATCAGGAGAGAGGACGCTATTCACCTTATTCAAGTCAAGGTCAGGCAAACAGAGCTTATCCTTTTGGTGTCAAAAGAAAGAAGAGTTCGAGGAATAGGTAACACACAATTCTGGAGTTTGAAGTCCCGCATACCGTTCATTTATTCACTCCATAAGCACTTACCCAGTATCTTTATGTGGCAGCTTGTGCTGCGCATTGAGAGACAACGGTGAGCAAAGAAGACCTGATGCCTGCCCTCCTACAGCTTCCCGATCATTGGGAAACACAGACAAGATTCTGACATCAGTGGAACTGACAGTCCAGTCAGGGAAACAGAGATTAAGCAAATAATCACAAATAATATAGATAGCAACCTGAGAGAAGTGTGATAACAGGCCTCTACTAAGCCATGGAGTGCCAGCCCCTTCAGCTGGATGCATTCCTGTGAGCACATCAATTACAAACGGCTTCATCTGAATTTCAGCCCCACTCTCCTGCTTAGCCAGATGATTTTAAGATAGGGAGATTATATTGGATTATTGGGGTAGACATAATCTAATCACATGATCCCTTCAAAACAAAAGCAGAGATCTTTCTCTGACTGGTAGCAGAAGACAAACATTCGAAGCATGAGAAGAACTCAACGTGCCATTGTTGGTTTGAAGAAGGAAATGAGGACCTCGATCTTATAGCCACAAGGAACTGAATTCTGCCTACAACCTGAATGAGCCTGGAGGTGAAACCTGCTCCCAAGCTGCAGATAAGAGTCCAGGCTGGCCCACATCCTGGCTCTGGCCTTGTGAGGTCCTGAGCAGAGGACTCAGTTGATTCTACCTGGACTTCTGACTCAAAGAAACCATGAAATAATGCATTTCTGTTGTTTTAAGATGCTAAATTTGTGGCAATTTGTTGCAGCAGTGATAGAAAACTAATACACCTCCCAAAATAAAATCAAATGAACTCCACAAGTGGTTGTTGAGCACTTACACCACATATCAAACACTAAAATTTCAGGGCCATGGGTAAGGACATATTCCAGCAACAGGGAGGGGCACATCCATCATCACATAGGATTTCCATTTAACCAAAAAGAGCAAGACTGAAGTACTAATCTTTCTAGGACAGAGCTCATAAGACAAACACTATTCCCCACTGATGGTCCTGAGAAGGAACAGGAAGACAGCAGGAGGCCAGCCAGCACCAGACAGACAACATCACTAAGAGGGAAAACCGAAGGACGGGAGCTGTCTATGCTGATTAATCGACCACATAGTCCTCATTGGTCCTGGCCTGTTACCTTCATGTCCATGGGACACAGAGGGGCCAATCCAGTGTAGGTCTGCATAAAATGGGGTCTGACTCCTAGTGCCAACCCCTGGAGCCTGGGAAAGACAAAGGATGGCTGAGCAGAGTTCCTTCTCGGCCCCTGGAGACTCAGCCCCGCCCTGAGTCAGTTGTTTACCTGGGCAAAGGGCAATGCAGGATGGCACCAGCATATTACGTTAGCTAATCCCGAAGCCACAATGGTGAGACATCTATTTCTCCCAGCTCCGTCAGGAAAAACTACCTACTAAGGTCATTGAGGCCACTGACCTAAAACAGGATTCAGAGAAGTGGTGTTCAGGTCTGGTCCCTGGCCTAGGACAAGCTGGAGTGGAGCATAAGTTCATACTGATCTTTTTTGGGTAAGGACATCTTTCTTCAAAATGGAAATATCCATTATTTTTTCTGATGATATCTGAACATGATAAAACATTCACACAACATAACAAATGTGAAGACAACCCCATGGTCCCAAGTTGTGAAAATAACCCTGGTTAACTGATGGGTAGTTTCCACACTACTTTTAGTACACATTCACAGGGACACAGGCAAACTCAGTCCCTTTAAGTGGAAACAGGATACTGTATGTTATTCACAGCCTCTTTTACCTAACAATATACAACACAATACATAGAACTAGTTTATGATTTTTAATTGCTCCACTGCTGTAACAACTTCACTGTTTATAAGAGGAAAAAACTGTCCATCAAAAGGAGATTTATTAAATAAATTATGGCCCATCTATACCATGAAATTCTGTGTGGCCATTAAAAAGAGATCTATTTATGCTTATATGTATATATACATACATATATATTTTTAAATGTATGTATTCACAGCATATACAGCTGTGAATGGTAGTCACAGTGAGGGTGAATCCAGTGGAAGGGACACTCAATTTTATTGCACACTTTTGTGTACCTTTTCTTTCTTTCCTTTTTTTTAAACATATGAATGCTTCTTTACCAACTCCATTAATTGAGGAATTGTGCTTCTCTTATCCACGATCATGTCATTATAAGAAAGATAACTGCTCTTACAAGGTCCATCAATAACTATTTACATGAAGAACAATATAGACTAATTTGTTTAAAACTTCCCCGTTAAAATCCCTGTTTCTCTGTTCTGCAGTAAGGTTTTGGGCTGCTTCCAGGCCTTTCCCACCTCTGCCCAGACACAGAAAACATCTTCCCTTTAAAAGTCCCAATTCCTGGAGCACTTACCAGCACAGGAAGATGTCGGTGAATGTCTCTGCCGTGGTGAAAAGTGCAAATATAATCCAGTACATCATCCATTTGACCTGTTGAACGAAAAAGCAGCAGAGCTAGGTGAGAAGCTTAAGGGCACATGGCTGCCCAGCACTGAGCAGAAAAGGCCAGGCGGTGAGCGCTGGGCATGTCCAGGCAGGGATGCTGCATCTCTAACCCCGCTCTCCCCTTCTCTCCCCAGCTCATGTCTAGTCCCACTCCAGACCTTGGGGCAGGAGGCAAACAGGCTGTTTCCACAACTGACCCAGGCTCAAGGTCAGTGTAGGCCCTAGGTGACCTTCAAGAGCCCTCAGGTGAGCCAGGGAACCTGCAGACCAGGAGTGACTTAGGATTCACTCAGGTCATTTTTCCAAGAATAATACCAGGTGAGTGAACTCTCCAGGCTTCCCAGAGACACAGCAGGCAATGAACTGTAGCAAGGCCAGCCTCTCTGGGATGGATCGGTGGTGATCCTCACTGGCCACCTAAGAATCCTCTCCTGAGGGAAAACCCCACGGCCCCTTGCAGAAACTGGATCTTCAAAACCTCTCCCACGGGACCATCCACTCCATTTCCACTGCCTCTCTCCCCCTGAGGCCTTGGTGCCCTCTCTCCTGTTTTCCTTGTCTCTCGGCTTTCTGCTCATCAACCCACCCTACAAACCATTCCCATGCGAATCTCCCCAAAGCATGAACTCATCAAACTACTCTTTAATTTTAAATCTCTCAGCCTGGGGAAGGGGATGCGGAGTGGCTCAGGGGCGCGGAAGGGCTGCTCTCGCTCATGCCATGCCACCTCAGCTGGGGACCCAGGAGGCTGCTGTGTCCTGTCCTCAGAACAATGGGGCTCAGTGTGCAAGGTGGCTGGGGGGTGTGCATCGCGGGGATGCTGCTGGTGCTAACGCTGATGAAAGTCACCGTGGATGGTGAAGACTCGGGGGACCTTCAAGCAGAAATCTTTCCACACTTCTCAAAAGCTCCACTACTAAATCAACAGGGGATACCTCACACGTGCCTTTCAGCCATGCAGGTGAATCTTCCAAAGGTACCATGAAACCATCTACAACTTCAGTTTCCTCAGTGACAGTGACCACTCTGAAACCCACAGCACCTTCTAAAATGACAACACCAGGGGTCTAAATAAATACAGCTCCTACCACCTTAAAGTCTACACTCAAATAACAAGTGTTTCACAGAACACATCCCAGATGTCAACATCCACGATGACCACAAGCCACAATAGTTTGGTGACATCTGTTTCTTCATCACAGCAGGTATAAATTCTAAAGAAAATAAAGGATCAAAATTTGATATTGGCGACTTTGTTGGTGGTAATTAACATTAGGAATTTTATCGCCCTGGCCGGTTTGGCTCAGTGGTTACAGCGTCAGCCTGCAGACTGAAGGGTCCCGGGTTCGGTTCTGGCCAAGGGCACATACCTCGGTTGCAAACTTGATCCCCGGGGCAAATGTGGGAGGCAACCAATTGATGTGTCTCTGTCACATCAATGTTTCTCCCCCCCCCCCCTTCCCCCCCCCCCCTCCAAA